CATAGGCTTGAAGCTTTTTCTTAAGTGTTCCCCAGAGATGTTCAATGACATTGACATCAGGAGACTGTGCTGGCCAGTCAAGAACATTGATGTTATGTTCTTCAAACCATTCCTTAGCTCTTCTGGATGTGTGCTTGGGATCATTATCCTGTTGGAAAATGATATCTTCTTCATCAATCCCTGATTCTGCCAAGCTAGGCAGCAAGTGGTCATTTAAAATGTCCACATACTGCTCAGCATTCATCTTCCCCTCAACCTCAGCAAGCATTCCCACACCATTCCATCCCATACAGCCCCATACCATTAAAGAACCTCCTCCAAACTTGACAGTCCCATTAACCTCTCTGTCTGTTAGGCCATCTCCCTTTTTTTTTTCCATACATATACCTTCCCATCTGACCCAATCCTATTGATTTTGGTCTCATCTGACCATATAACATGCTTCCAGTCCTCTACAGTCCAGTGTTGATGAGCTAAGGCAAAGGCTAGTCTTCTCTACCTATGTTTGATGGAGAGAAGAGGCTTTTTCTTCTTTGTTACTGCCTTGAGAACATTCCTCACAGTTTGTGAAGAGACAGGGGTAATGATGGTGGAATTGATATAATGGGTGGCTTGGACAGCATTATCAGCCTTTCCTGTAGTGATATGTTGGATAATAGCCCTTTTGTCAGTAGAGGTAAGCTTGGATGGATGTCCTCCACAAGAGTTTTCCTTGTCTGGGTGGCTTTCTTTGATAAACTTGGCCACAGTGGACTTGCATACTCCAGTTCTAGAGGAAATTTGGCAAGCAGAGAGGCCAGCATAAGACAGAGAGAGGATATTATCTCTTTGAGCAGAGGAGATGGCTTTCATGGTGATTATGACTATGATACATGAGATATTCTGGTTTATATAGTTAGATATAGTCATAAAATAACATAATGACACCACTTCATAATTTATATAATAGTGGCATGATTTTTGTGGTGTCATAAATAATGATTTATATAGTTTTAATATACACTCAAAAAACTGTCCACATGAGTCATCATTTTATAAGCCTTATGTCTCCACCATATCTCCACCGATTCCTACGGTGTAGGCCTCAAATGAAAGCCCTGAAGCCATACTACAATGTGGTATAAGCATGTCCTTGAGCCATTTGTTCGTTCTCACACAATATCATAGATAGTGAAAAATGTCAAAACATGTGGACAGTTTTTTGAGCCACTGTATCCAATGATTTCATCACAGGCAATTGTGAAAGACACAATGATGCACAAGAATAGTTTCCAATGAGAATTCATGGGAATGTGTTGGATGGTGATAGCATCACCTCTGTCAACTTTAAATAGCTCTAGACCATCCTGGATGAACCCCAAGCTGAGGACAAATTCTTGGTTGTCCTGCAATGCAAAAATAATTGATGTTTTAGCTGTAGGAAGAGACATATCAGTTTAGAAACATATTGCAGATGCTGGAACTCACAAGCAAACTGATTGAAGATATCTACCTTCAACTTTTCCAACTTTGACAATTTCATCTCCCCAACTGATTGCACACATCTCCAGTCTGCCACCAGATCACTCAGCAGTATCAGGTCAGGCTTCCTCTTTGCATCATGGCTGAGAAGTGAAGATGTACTGTAGGCTGCAGTCCAAAATTGAGTGGGCTTCACACCCAATATGTGACTGCACACCACTGCAATTTTATTGAGGAAAGCTGCCATTTCCACCTCTACATTTTCTGTCCAGCAGCAGAGGTCTGGGATATTTTCCCATCTTTGCTTGTTTTTATTGTAAAGTGGAGGGTGCTGTGCCTCAAAGGCTGTTATGAGATTACTAAATCATCAAGTCAGTCACATTGGTGTTTTGACTAAGAAACAAAAGCTTACTCCCAACTTTAGACTCAGCTAAGACCTTGGAACTGGGGAAGAGATGCTAAATGAAATCAGTACCTACATCCATGGTGCATTTGCCGAGTTCCAGCTTGACCCTCACATCATAGTTATCTGTCATATCCCACAATCTGGACCCACATTCCATCATATTCCCACACCTTCTGAGCCTACATCCAGACTGCATATCTGACTCATTCCCAGATCCCCTTCCACTGTGTGCTCCACACCTCAGTAGGATTGACTATGCTCCGGATTTACCCCTGAGCTCTGGACCTCTGGATCCTCACTGCTGGCCTGATCCATACCACCCTATCCCATCCACCCTATGCACACTCCATCCAGCAAGACATCTGGACTTCACCTTGTCTCAGATTCTGGACTGTATCCACCCCATCTTCCAGATCCCCAGATTTCTGAACCTCCAGATATTAACTCCAGACCTATTCCCACCCTCTGTCTGACATCCTGTGCCAATCCCCATTTAGGCATCTCTGCCTTTCCAGCTTTCGGTTACCTCCTGTTCTGTCTTGCTTATTGATCCTTGTATGAGTCTTCATCTCTGAGTTCATTTACTTATGTTCTGTCTTACTTACTAATGTGTTTCCACATGCTCATACATAGCCTTGCTCCTTTGCTTACTGATCCCCTCAGATACTGTTCAGTATATAACCCCTGTAGATACTCCTGTAGTTCCTTAGTTTGAATATCAACTTAGACTTGCCCAATCCTCTCTTGGACTTTGGTCCACCTAAGTCTGTCCTACCCATCAGGCCTAGGGATTGATTCCCTAGGCTGGAGCTCCGCCTTTCCGGCACTTACCCTCTTTCCGGACTTAGGTTCAATCCCTGTCTCTCCAGCTCTACCTTAGGGTAGTCTACCTCTGTTTGTTTCTACATCAGATGGAGTCTGATGTAGCCCCTATTCCTTCCAGACCTCCAGACCTCCTGTCCCTCGTACCTCTGGGCATCCTGTCCTTCAGACATTCCACCCTCCATACCTTCAGACGTTCCATCCTCCTAACTCTTGGACATCCTGCCCTCCTGTCCTCCTGTCCTCCTGTCCTCCTGTCCTCCTGTCCTCCTGTCCTCCTGTCCTCCTGTCCTCCTGTCCTCCTGTCCTCCTGCCCTCCTGTCCTCTGGACCCTCAGACCTCCTATCCTTCCATCCTGTTTCCTGTAGAAGTATTACCTTGCAGTGGGAACTCTCCTGAACACTTCCTGCATTCCTCCAGAACTCTCCCACGCTCCTCCGGACATTTCCCACACTCCTCCGGAAGTCCTCTAGCACTCCACCAGAGTAGCCAGCCTCCGGAAGTCCTCCAGACTTTGTTGGACCATCATTGGACTTCCTCTGAAATGAAGGGCACATACTTGGGTAAGGGGCACAGCATATGAGCTGAGGCCAAGCCCCTCTGAGTCAGTCTCTCTCTCCTTTGAGCAACATGGTTCTTAACACAACCCCTCTTCCAATCCCACCTCCTATGCCTTCTGATTCCTATTTGGAGATGCCATCAGCTCACATGGGCCTATCAGAACATCAGGCATCAGCTTTATGCCACAGTTTAGAACATGGTAACAAGCAGGCAGCTAGCAATCAACTATGTGAAGCAGCCCATAATGTTCCCAATCCAAACTGTCCAAGAGGGGGAAGGCACCTGAACAGGAGGAACCAAGGTAGCTGGAAGTGAAGGTTAAACCCATGGATTAAGGGAAGTGCATCAATGGAGGCTATAGTCAGTGAACTAGGTGCAGCACACTCAGAATCCAAGAGCTACAATCCTGCAACATGGGCCCAGCAGATTGAAAATTCTTTGAGCAATCAAGGAAGTTTTCAGGAAGGATCTTTTGAAGAGCTGATCATGCATTGCACTAGTCTTTCACAGCAGGATGTGGCTGTTAACTTCTTGAGAATGCTTGGCCTCATCCAGTAGGTGACTAAGTATCAGAGGTATGTGCTTTCCTACTATGCCTTCCTGGTCTACAAGTCCTTGTGATTTTGTAAGTTTGAGAGTAGGCACCATGATGATGGTAGATGAGGTATACAACATGCACATCACTCCTCTGAAGTTGAACTACTTGTTGGCAAGAACTTTCAAGATTGGGTCCAGTCTGGCAGCAAGTTTGCTGCTTTGGCAGCTGGCGGTACTATCTACATCTTAGTGATGGTTGCTGGCCTAGAGCTCAGGACTACAGTGGGCTCAATGGTAGGCAATTCACCTTGGCAATTAGGCAGTGCTCTGAGGCAGCCTGACTCCAGTAAGTACTATTCTCAAAATTATTGTACCATTGCTCAACATACCTGCCACAGATACTGCCATTGGTAGAACCATTTTGGATAGGATCATACCTACAGTGAATATCCTTTGTAGACATCTTCCTCTCAGCATGGGATCCATGTTTTTGCCTTCTCTTCTGGCACATCATAAGCTTCCCAGGGATATCAATTGTACCAATTTGGAAGCATCTGATTGCTTTTTGATTTGATTATTTTCAAGTGAGCTGATCATGAATGTCTGGGGGAAATCATGCTCATTCATTGTTTCTAGCCACTTTTCTCTGGTACCACAATGCTGGGAAGAATGGGATATTGGCACTTCTAGCTCAGTATCATGTCTAATATTGCTTGGCTCTCTCAATCAGCTATACATTGGAACACCCCCCACCATGGACAAAACTCAACATATATCCTCTTGTACCCCCCCACCTATTCTATCTTCTACCAACTCTAGCACTCTCTGCCCATGTCCAACATCTTCCACTGTTATCCTGACTATGTACAATATGGTTGGACCCCAAAATAGGAAGATGCCTACTCCACAAGAGAAAGAGGCAGACTTGGTATGGACAGAGAGCAATGGGGATATGCAGAGCATGCGGTGAAGATGTACAGGTGGATCAATTGGTGCAATATGTGAGTACTGACTCCTCTGTTGATCTGTTCTGATTTTAAATATTTGAAGCTTGAGGGTCTTTATGTAGATGGGACCAAGTCACTGTCAAATGCATATGTACACATACCTAACAGCTTAATCAGAGGGTGAGTTAGCTGAATCAATGTAGCCCAATTATCTGACATTTTGTGGCAGCCATCAGCTTGAGCTGTGCAATGATGATGGAACTTTGATGATGTACATTTGCAGAACCATGCCTTCATCAATCAGAGACTCCCTTCTGCAGCAGTTATTACTTGCTTTTGAGGATAAAAATCTATTGGTGGACAGGGATACTAGCCAGGATAGCGATAATTCCTTTGAGGTGATACACTTCTCTTGGTACAACCAGCATGCCACCAGGGTGAGCAACACCAAATGAA